TAATACTGTTTTTATAGAGAGCAACAAAATTTTCAATTCCGGCAATGGGTAGTGGGGAACTTAAATAACTAAACAAATAAATTAACTAATCCCAGAAACTGTATATAACTTCCCAAACTTAAGGGGAAGAAAGGAAGTAAAAAACAAAACAAGGGCAAGATGACTGAAAGGAGACACTACAGTCACACTCCAAGGAATACTTAAGTGCTAATTAAAAGTATGTTAAACATGCATTAGTCATTAGCAAACAAGGTCGAAGGCCCAGCTGCCCAAAGCATGTTCACAGAAAATAAAAATCAACAACAGGAATGTCAGCAAAGCCCTTCAATGTGGCCACTGCAGATTACTTGTGTTGCTTTGCTACAGGCATTTATCTGAATCCAGCCCTTTCATCCTGATGGGATCCTCAGAGGGACTCAAGAAATGTCTTTTGCACTAATTTTAAACAAGAAGTTTCAGCAAAAATTTATTCCATCAAAGCCCTTTGTGTTTAAACACTGAAAGGGAAGGTTCATAACCCTCTGGTCTGTCATCTGCACCAGTGACAATCTTGTGCTGGCTGAGCCCTGAGTTTCAAACAGCATTACTAAAAGGACTAGGTTAAAGATGAGGAAATAAAGAAAAGGGCAATTTTAGCCAAGATAAATGTGATGAACAGCAAGCTCTGAAAGCAGAAGCCTGGCCAATAGGAGAAGTTGCTGAGTTTATTTTTGTAGACCAACTTAGGCATTTGTTCTTTCAAGGTATTTTTTTGTTCTATGAGTTTTCATGGCCCCATGGAGTAAAACCTTCTATGAAAGTTCTCATACTTGTCTTTTTAGGGATAAAGATCTTACAGCAACTCCTCTACTTAAAAAAATATCCCAAATTCTTAATATCCATTCTCCTGCTGATCTGAAGGCATCAATATGTACTATTTCCACCATTCAGATGTAATAAATGCCTACACAACCAAACATCCTTCCACAGAAAATCTTTCTAAGTGTTGTACTTAACCATTTGACCAGCAGCAAACACTTTGTCTTCTCCAGGGAAAAAAACTTTTCTATATTTTCCACTTATCACCATTCCACTGTTCTTCACAGTTCCTTTGCCTTCTTTTACTGTGCTCACTAATTAGTTTTTAATCAATTACTAACTAAATCAGAGGGGGAAATTGTAGTTTTGTTTTGCAGCAAGAAGAAAATGCTGGATTTAATATCTCTTTATGGTAAAAAAAAAAAGTGTTTGCTATTTTAAAGTGCTAGCTTTAATCACAAAATTTTAGTGCTGTTTTTTAATAAGTCTGCCTAAAAATTTGCCAGGATGAGGGTATCATCTAGGGAGGGTATTCACCTAATGCCAGTTAAGGCATTTAAATTAAATTTAATATAATTTATTGTAATATATAGAATTCATTTAAATGTAATAAAATTTATTTAAAATTTAGGCTAGATGAATAAATGCTGAAATCTGTAAAATTATTGAAACCCCAGCTGTTTGTGTGAAGCAACAGGTTGGATGAGCAGAGGCAGCTCAGCTGGGCAGAGCCTTTGCAGCCTTTTCCAGCTGGGCAGGCAGGTCAGCAGAAGTCAGAACTTTACAAGCCATTTCTGGTACTGTGCCAGCAGGAAAATGGAGCCTCCTGCAAAACTAATGAGTTGAAGCACAGCTTTTGTTCCTGTCACCGAGTCCTCCAGAAACCTTAATTACAGAGGGATGGAGCTTCAGGATCAATTATCCAGATTTCAGTTCACAGGGACAAAACTGCCCCTTTTGAATCAGCTTGGTGTTTCCTTTGGAAAAGCCAAGGGCAGCTGGGGCTGCTGAGCTCCCTGCAGTGCTGCAGTGGAGGTGGAGCAGGGCCTGGGCTTGGGGAATGGCTCAGCTGCTGAGGGGCTTCCCTCAGGCAGGCACATCCTACTACTCCAGGTGTCATTCTGTGAAAAGTGCATGTTACATGGCTCTACACAGATATTTACTATATGTACTATGTTGTATTGATTACGTGCTGTATTAACATTTTAATAGTATGGGAAATGTAGTTTGGTAGTTAAAACGTAACTTTTGTAGTTAAAACAAACTGTGTATGTGGGATATTTTTTTAAAGAAAGGAATGAGGTACTCGCACCAGAGAGCAGCCACAGGACACCTAAATCTTTCAGAGAAAGAGAATTTATTGCTCTCTTATCAGACAAAACTAACTTCCTCCCACCTCACTCAGCCCTGAAGATGCTGTTAGGATTCAGAGGAAGAAGTCAGCACTGACCAGACAGAATCCTTTCTTTGAATGGAGTTTATGCACCATGGATGAGCTGTATGAATATGCAACAGGCTATTGCTTTGAAGGGTTAATCCTCTGTTAATGTGGGTCCTTTTCTGGGCTTATTTTGCCCACAAAGAGGACTGTCCCAATCTCTTTGTTTTTATTGTCTCATATTGTCCCAATCCTAATTGTTCAAATTTTTATTTCTCTAATTATATTACTCTTTTTACAACCATTTTATTACTATTAAACTTCTAAAATTTTAAAAAACAAGTGATTGGCATTTTTCACAATTCAAGGTGAGGAACCCAAAGGAATGCCCAGAGCCCAAATCTGTCTGCAAATGTCCTTCTCCCAGTGCAACACAAACTCCTGAGCTGCTGCACAATTCCAAAGCAGAAGAAGCCAAGATATTTTCTTGGGCCCTGGAAAAGCATCCCTGTCTTTCCTCCTGTATTTCCAGACAGAAATCCTGCTGCCCTACTTCGCCTACTGTGTTTGCTGCAAGAATCCTTTATCCCAGCCTTACAGAACTCCCAGGAGCAGCCAGGGAGTCTGAATGCTCAGGGTTTATTGAGCTGCCCTTCCCACTGTTCCAGGAAAGGCCAGACAAGCGTGGGCTTGGATAAGTATAAGCAGACCAGCAACACTAATTCCATCAGTTCCTCATGGGAAGCATGTTGTGACATCATTAAAAACTGGAAACGGGGTGTAAAATGCTATCAAATCATAATTCTAATAATTTAACTCTGGCTTTCCAAAAGTTGTTGTGCAAGGCACGCAACTGTGGCCATGTATTTCAAAAAGTCACTGAGACAGTTTTAAGGATTAGTTTTGCAGTCACCTTTGTGAAGGATGTTTTGGTGCTTTATTAAAAGAGACAGTGAGTGGTTTTGTGGCAGCAGCTCACAAGAAGCCCTGATGCTTTTCTGCATCCTTGCACATCTCTGCCTGGCATGGCTGGCTGCAAAGAGAGCAGGGTGCTCACTCCAGGCAGCAAATCCAAATCCTTGCAGGACAGCTCTGGCCAAATCAACCACTTGAATATTTGCTCCTTCCCTCTTTGCCTTCCCAAATCAAGTCCTAATTAAAGTTTGGAAGACTGGATAAACTAGTAATTTCTCAGCTATTTGGCCAAAACACAACTATGGATGAGGGGAAAAGCTGTGGGGAAGCATCTCTGGGGTGGGGAGACTGGGAAACTGGGAGTGCTCTGGGAAAGCTCACTCACTTGAGATGCCCAGATAAAAGTTCAGACCGTTTAAAATACTGAGGGGGCAGCAGAGAAAGAGGTGGGACAGACTCAAACTGGACAGATCAGGATCTCAGTCAGGATTGAGGGGAACAGCCTGGAATTTCAGTGGAAGCCTGGAGAAAGTGAACTGCTGTGTGAACTCATGTTAACATTACAGACAGGCAAATACTTAATTCAAATTGAACAAACTTAAGCTAAACCATGAGGAAAGGTGGCATAATAGAAAGAATCCAGATCAAGGTTTCACTGACAGAGAGAGAAAAAAAACCCAACATTTTTTCCTCAAATCACTTCTTCCTTAAAACCGCTGACCTACAGCTGGGAATATTCAGGGCAACGTAGATGAGTGCACTAGAAAGGTGCTACCCAAGGTCACAAGCATGGGAAGAACCTGAATAACTGACTGCAGAGCCTGAGCCTGGAGTGCCAGGACACAAGAGAACAGCTTTAAAGTGACAGGGAGCAGGTTCAGAAGGGACATGAGGAAAAAATCCTTCCTGCGAGGGTGGGCAGGCCCTGGCACAGGGTGCCCAGAGAAGCTGTGGCTGCCCCTGCATCCCTGGAAATGTCCAAGGCCAGGTTGGATGGGGCTTGGAGCATCCTGGGATTGTGGAAATTGTCCCCTCTGGGGCCCTCCCAAAGTTTCCCTGCTCCTTCCCTGCTCTGCCTTTGGGAGCAGCTGGTGCTGCTCAGTGGCAGGAGTTTGTGCCCTGGTGCTTGTTGGGAGACATGAACTGTGAGATGATCTCCTGCTAAAGCTGGATTAAGAGAGGCTTTGGGGTCTGGTGGGACATGTGGAGTAAGAGTCTGGATTCCCTAGACATGCCAGTCTTAACACTTTTATTTTTCCCCGCTGTGCCTTTCTAAAAATGACTGGCTCAACTACCAGGATTAGATATCTTGCATTTTGAGGGGTTCTAAAGCCACTTCAATTTATTTCTCATATTTGAAGCAGTGCTTTTTCAATGAATAGAGCCCAAATTGAGATGCTGAAGTGTTTCAAACACAGAGCATCACAACTAAATACTTCCAGGAAGGGGCTGATGATCACAGTTGCATAAAATGGGGATTTAACTCTTTTGTAGCAGCTGCATAACTGATCAGTAAAATGAGAGGAAAAACAGTTTTCCTAAGGAGCTGGCACAGCATATTTATCTGCTCAAAGGGCTTATTGTAGAAAATATATTTACCAGAGAGAAAATTAAGTCTGGAAGAGAACCAGCTCTGGGCTGAATGAATTTGAAAAGGCTCTTTCACTGCCTAGGCAAGTTTAGTCTATAAATCAAAATTATTAGGGCTTAATTTTTAAATTTTATTTCTTAAGTGGGAGGAGGACCTGCTGCTAAAAGAAGCCGACATGAATTTAAGGGGCTGGTTTGTTGAGAGCATGCAATTACAGCCTGACAAACTGCAGGCACACAGACAATGGGAGCAGGAACCATCCTGCCCTCCCAGGCACACACGGACACACAGACTGCACTGAGAGCCACGGAGCTTTACCTTTCTGGAGCTTGGATGCATTGTCCTGGATCCAGCTGAAGAGGTTGGCAAAGTCACAGTCACACACCCAGGGGTTGCCCTCCAGGCGGATGGTCCGCAGGGAGGGCAGCGCTTCCAGGGCTGCCACGTTCAGGCTCTGTAAGTTATTGTCATTCAATTCTAACACTTGGAGCTGGTCCAGGTTCTCAAAAGCAGCCTCGTCCACATCCACCAGGTTGTTGTTTCCGAGGCTCAGTTTTATCAGTTTCTCTGCTGATTTGAATATCCCAGCATCGAGCTGCGTTAAATTGTTGTAGCTTAAGTCTAAATACACCAGTTTGGTAGAACTGCTAAAAGTGCCCTCTTCTAAAGAGGTGAGGGAGTTATTCCTGAAGTCCAAATAGACTAGATCTCCATAAAATATAAAGAAGTCAGCTGGTATTGCCTGAATGTTGTTATCAGCTATAAGAAGTTTCCGTACATCCAATGGGAAGGGATTGGGAACACTTGGGAGTCCTTGATCCCGGCAGTCTATGGTGTGGTAGTCCATACAGCTACAAACAGCAGGGCAAAGATGACCCCCAGGCAGGAAAAGCAGGCAGGCAAAGCCAGCAAAAGGCAGGAGGCAGGAAGGAAAGCATGGCAACATCGTCAAGGATCTGGAGGCTGTGATGAGCACCACTTCAGGAGAAAGACATTTTGCTCAGCTGAGCAGGAGTGCCTGGTACTTGTGTGTGTGCCTGATTGTATCCAGGAGATCACATATCATCACAGATCCGATAGCAGCAGTCTGGAGGGGGAGGGAGGAGGGAGGGAGGGAGGCAAATGTGAGGATTTACACTGTCAGAATATTGTGATGCTGCACAGGGTGAGGAAAGCGATGATTGGGCACACGGAGGATCTTTCAAAGGACTCCCTTGCTTTTGTGAGCTAAAAAAAGCCCAGAGCCTGTTTGAATATTTGCTGTCTATTCCAGCAAAGGGGAAATCACACCTGATCCTGTGACTCTGACAGCAACAGCTTCTGCTTAAAAAGCCCTCCAGGTGAAAATCCCCCATGAGATCACTTACTGTGTTCCTCAGCAGGAGCCTCCATCAGGGTGCCCAACGTGGAAAGGCAAGAGAGGGTCAGGCAGTGCCCTGGATCTCTGCTGAGGACAGGTTTCCCTTTTATTTGTAAAACAGGGAGCAGAAGGGGGCAGCCCAAAGACAAGGAGCTCTGCTTTGTGCTGTTTCTGGATTCCTCAGCTGTTAGAGCAAGGCTGTTCACATTATCCAGATATGACTCAGGATCTTTTAACCAAGAAGAATAACCTACAGCAGCAACGAGGAATATGGTCTCAAAGTGAGGGGCTTTTCCTTCCTATTTAATGACCCAAAAAAATCTACTTTCTACTACAGCACCAGTAATGTCTGTTGGGCCACATGAAAGTGCAAATTGTGGATCAAATCTTTAGCTGGTTAAAATGGAACTGGTTTTCATTTTCAGGGAGTTGAAATATTTGACAGTCAATCTGCCTGTCCTGTGGGACAGCAGAAGTGATTTTGCAACAAGGCATCTGTGTTTTCCTGACATCCTCAACCCCACGCCCACAAAGGCGAGTCCTCAGCCAGCTACACACTTAACTTTTAACTCCATCCCTCCTCTTTATGCAGGGTGTGCAAGCAGAGTCTGGAGAGCTGGGGTCACATCTGTGTGCCATGATGGAAGACTTTTCTAGAGACTGATGGTATTTGGGTGGGTGCATCCTGACGTGGGGAGCCCAAAGTCAAACACCTTTGGGAAGCTCATTCTTAGGTCAAAGAGAGAACAGAAATTTCAATTTAAGGTCATATTTTATAACTGGATTCAGGGTATTTTTCATCCAGGATAGGGGACAAAATTTTCCTTCTCAGACAGCCTTTCCTCCAAGATCCCTGTGCCTGAACTCAGTGAAAGCAGCATCCCTCACCTCTCCTTTAGTGTGTACCTAGAAACACCGAGCAGCTGGCAGGGAACAAAGAGGGAGCCACACTGTTCTCAGCAGCACCACTGACAGAAAAAGATGAAATGGGCACAGATTGAAAACCATCTGAACACAAGGAAACACTTCTCTTACTGCGAGGGTGGCCAGGCTTCCCACACAGGTTGAATATCACCACAAAGCCCAGCTGGGGACAGCTCTGGGCAAGCTCTGCTTGAGCAGGGGACTGGACTGGTTGATTTCCAGAGGTCCCTTCCAACCTCAGCACTTCCCTGCACTGCTCTTGGGAAATGAAAATGTCAAGGTTTATGCCTTTGAGCACCTCCCTCACATTTTGCAGCCCACCTTGTTTCTAATTCATAACTTTTTCAGCTAAACCACCTTGAAACAGCCTCCAGATCCCTCCCACAAAGACACATCCTGCTCCAGGTGCCTTTCATCTATTAAATTACTTTGAAAGCACCACCCAGAAAGAAATGGGCACAACTGCCTCTATAAACCACCAGGGCAGAACTCAAATAAATTCCTGAGGTGATTATTTAAAGTATTTACCTTTAAATTACAGAGGAAGGGGCAGTTTGACAGGCTACCTCTGATTAGAAAAAACCAAATATGCAAAATAACTCTTGGGGTCAGGATTCATTGGATTGGCATCACCGAGTAACTGCAACTGGTATTTCTCTTGCAGAACTGATGCTTTTTAAACTCTCAGGGCTCTATCTTGCAAACAATTGTTCCTGCTGCAATCTCCTGTTTTTCTGCCTCTAATTTAACGAAGGCTTAAAGTCAGAGCTAAAGGTGTTTCTGACACAGGAAAGCAGAACTGATTTGATTTCTTTAACAATGTAGTTTCATATGGACAGATTCAGCTCTCTATTAAGAGCAGGAATTTATTCACAGGATTTAAGGGTCTCTGTGGCTCCTCCTCTGCAGATCCCCCCTTTTTCCATCAAGTGCACAGAATCAGGATGTGACATTTTCATTTCCAAGATGCCTCAGCCTTCACAGATGGGAGACTACAGACAATAAGGCATAATTTGTGAAAGCTCCAAGAACATGCTAGTGGCAGGGGTGGAAAAGGACTCAGCTTCCCTAAGAATTCCACCAGCCCTTGCTAAAACCACCTCTCCTTTCTGAACAGAACAGCCCTTCCTTTTGCTCAGCTGCTCACCTGGATCCCTTATTGTCAATGTGTTCGTGGGTCCCAGGATGAGGGAAGAGATGACTCTGACTCCATATGTCTCAGAAGGCTGATATATATTATATTATATTATATTATATTATATTATATTATATTATATTATATTATATTATATTATATTATATTATATTATATTATATTATATTATAGCTATACTAAAAAGAATAGAGAAAAAAATACATCAGAAGGCTAGGAAAGGAATGAATAATGAAAACCTGTGGCAGACAGAAAGACTGATACAGCTGGACTGGGATTGGTCATTAAGTTAAAACAATTCACATGGAACCAATTAAAGATGCCCCTGTTGGTAAACAACCTCCAGTCCACATTCCAAAGCATCAGATAATTATTCTTTAAATTTCTTTTCTGAGGCTTCTCAGCTTCTCAGGAGAAAAATCCCGGCAAAAGGGTTTTCATGAAATATCACAGTGACACCCTACTGTCACCCCTGTTCCCAAGCCCTCCCTCCCAGCCTGGTCTGCACAGAGCCTTGGAGCTCTCCTGGCTGAGATCTCAGGAAGGGCTTGGCAGGAGATGAGGGGTCACTGTCAGGCTCTGGGTGTTTTGGGATAGGGATCCCACAGGTTTGTGAAGCATCAGCCCTGCTGCCACAGCAGCCAGGGCAGCAGAGTTTCTGTGCCAGTGTGTGCCAGCTCTGACCTGCTGCTGTACAAGCCCAGCTGCAGTGCCTGCCATGGGCTGATGCCTCTCTATGCTGTCTTTGATTTCAGAGACTTTCTTCCTGACCCATCTTTCTCTGTGCAACATTTCCTGTTTAATTTTGTCCTTTTAGCTTCTGCTTATTTCTGTTTCTCAGCTGTTTCCCTCACAGCACAGAAAGTCTTTTGAATCTTTTTGAAGCTTCATTCACTTGCCAAACATTCTGTGCAGTTTCGACTAGCAGGAAGAAAGCAAAGCTTGCTACCTAAAAAAATATTAAAGCATACTTTTAAAAATGGTTTGTTTGCATCAGGCAGTGTCAGTAACCTGGGGGCTGGGCTGTGATGTGCTGAGTGCACAGCACCCTCTTGTGCCCTTGGATCCTGGGCAGCCACAACTGCTCTGCTCCCCTCTGTGAGCTGTTAATATGTTTTATCATATTTCTGCAGTTTGCCTGTCTCTCAGGTTCCTTTCTTCCTCTTCCTGTTAAAGAAACCCCAATCAAAAATAAAATACATAAATCAGGTGGTGTTCTTATGGACTTCAGCTGACACTGTGGTAAAACACAAATTGCACCAGTGAATAGTCTCAGAAATAAAGGGTTTTTATAATCTATGTTTCTTCAGTGCTCTCAAGCAAAGGCCCACAGCTTTTCCACCTTCCTTCATATTCCACACTACATTTTACTTCATACAGATTTGAAAAAGCACAAACTTCCCAATTGGGAATTGATGCCCAACAAAAACCCCAAATATTCTTCTTCCACAGAGGTGGGATCCCACACTGATGAGATTTTGACTGGCAGCTGATTTATCTGTGATTCTGCCTTCCAGGCTCCCCTAAAGGGACGGAATGATTTTGAGAAATGTGCTTGTAAATCAGGGTAACAATTCTAGTTCCAGTTCTAGCTGTAGAGGATTTTGTTTTGAATCCCTCTGTGGAGAACAAAGAAGGAAAACCAAGGTCTCTCCACTCCTCCCAGTAAACTGGAGCTGGATAACCACAACAGTAGGCAGGCTTTGGACTAAAAACAGTGATATGGATTTCTATTCTTGAATTTTTTATTCAGGATACTACCAGGAGAAACCTTGACAATAAAGGCAGTGACAAGGCACACTGGTCATGTATCCTCATTGTGCTTGTTGTACTGAAAGAAACTAAGAGGAAAAACATTTTCTCCTGACAGAGTTTCCACCTTCCAGCACTCCTCTTAAAAGTGCTCAAAACTTCCCCAAATCATTTAAGAAAAGCAGTCAAAAAGAAAGAGCAATCTTTCTTTTGTGCAGACACACGTGAAGGATTCGGGTCTCAGCCAGTAAATCCTTCCTTGCAGGAGACTGAAAACTGCCCATCCTCATGCACATTTTTGAGCAGCTAATTGAGCATATTTTTCCATGAAGGAAGTTATTATTCCAGGCTTATGCTTCGCTGGGTTAAGGCACATGTCAGAGCCAGGCTGCAGTACCAGGTGCACAGAATGAGGGCAGAGGGATTTCCTCCCCATTATCAGGCAGCACAAGGGGTCCTGGGCACCACTGCTTGAGCCTGAGTGGCCAGTGTGAATGTTAATCAACTCAGCAAGCACTGAAACCAAGTGCTAAGCAGCATCTCCGAACAGAAATCCCATTTGTATTTAGGTCTTTACCATTTTGGCTTTAGTGTTGTTTTGGTTTTTTTTTTTCTCTTGAGAAAAATGTTCTCCTGCTCTGACTGGGCAGTTTTATGAATGCAGTCAAGGGGCACCTCTGGGCAGTTTTTCCTCTGATCTTATGTCTAAAAAAGGATTAAAAAAGCAAAAGTCTTAACATTTATGAGATGATAGAAACTGTGAGCTGAAGCTTTGTGTTACACCTGCCCAGTCCCTCTCTGCTGCTGCTGCTCTGCTGTGCCCTGGGAGGGAAATTGCATCAAAATTCATCAGCGTGGCAGCAGCAATGATTGAATTTGAAAACTTCAGACACTGCAGTTCAGCAGCCAAATGAGAGCAGCCTAAACCCATCAAAAGACTTCCATCATCTGCCCCAGACATGTCTTACACAGACGTGTGGGCACTCCCCCACTGCAAAGCATTTACAGTCACTAAATGCAGTCACAAGAGATGCAAGGGTGTGAATTTTATTTCCCTTTCCCCTCAGGAATGAGTTTGTACCCAGCTGCTGCAGTGTAGTCTGCTTGCCCTCTAGATGGTTTATGAGCTGGTCCAGAATTACCAGAGCTTTAAGCAAATTAAAGGCAATTAAAAGTCCTCCTAAGATACTGAGAGAGATCTGCTCATGTTTATCCACTACTACTGGTGTATGCAATGAAATGATAGGTGGTATCAGGATTCCCCTCAAATCACAGAATCAC